CACCCCACCGCCATACCAAGTGAAGAGGGAGGACAGGGACGTGCGACGGCGGCCGGCGAAGGTGGGATCGATCCAGATGGGGGCGGGAGAACTGGATGGCGTGAGGAGAGAGAAACGCCATTTGGCGGATGTCTATTTTTGGAGGATGTTTTGGAGTGTTTGCTGGAGCCTCTCTTTTTTTTTTGCTTCCATACGCCATTTCTCATATGGAGGGTGGGATAGAAGATCTGCTGGGATGCTCTAGGAGTACCTTTTTCCCATCCCATCTTCCTCATTTTTTACGCGCACACTTTTTAAACTGCTAGTGCTTTGAAAAAAAATTCTATACAAAAGTTACTTAAAAAAATCAAAGTAATCTATTTTTGAAAAAAATTAGCTAATACTTAATTAATCATGTGCTAATGAATCGTTCCGTTTTCCGTGCTTGCCGGTTAAGAACATGGCATGTCAAACACAAGAGTATGCCATATATTATTATTTGGTACTACCTCGTCCCATTAGAAAACCAAAAAATGCCATGGGACGACCATTGATCCATAAAGCACTCAGACCGTAAAACCATTGATACTTTTTTTCCTTAGAGCAAGTTTCACCGTATAGTGAACTACTGGTTCTAAATTGTCTATAGTCAATCTAATAAATCATTCTTACAATGTTTACCTATAAGTATATACTACACCACTAAGGGCCCCTTTGATTCAAAAGAAATTCATAGAAATTTTAGAGGATTTCATTCCTATAGGATTTTTTTTCCTATATAGCCCTTTGAATAAAAGGAATGGATCCTATAGATTCCTATGAAATTCATATGGATTGTCTTTTCCCATGTAAGTTTTGGAGGAAATTTAACATGAGGTAGAACCTCGTTGAAAGAATCCTTTAAGTCTTTATCTCTTCTCGAATTCCTGTTTATTTCCTGCGGCCCAATCAAACAGTCATTCCTATGTTTTTTCTGTGTTTTGTAATCCTCTATTTTACACTTGCATTCCTGTCAGAATCCTATGTTTTTCCTATTCCTCCGCTTTTTCATTCTGTAATTCAAAGGGGCCCTAATATATAGTCTCACCTCTCATACACACAATGTATTGGAGTATGTGCTGCAGCTGGCTACAAATATGTAGCCTGCTTTCCTTCTCTCTCTTCTCTTCTCTCCTCCACGTATGCTTACAATTGACTTGTAGCCTGCTATTGTACTCGCTCTTAGGGGGTGTTTAGATCTAGAGGTGTAAAATTTTGGCGTGTCATATCGGGTATTATATAGGGTGTCCCATGAGGTGTTTGGGCACTAATAAAAAACTAATTACAATATCTATCATTAAACCGCAAGACGAATTTATTAAGCCTAATTAATCCATCTTTAGCACATGTTTACTATAACACCACATTGTCAAATCATAGAGCGGTTAGGCTTAAAAGATTCGTCTTGCAAAATAGTCTCAATCTGTGCAATTAGTTATTTTTTTAGTCTATATTTAATATTTTTGCGGGTGTTCAAACTTATAAATTTTTGGTGTGGGATCTGAACCGGACTTGGTCCCGTTACAGTATACGGGCATATCACTAGTCGGAATGAAACAATATTGCCGTTTGACAAATGGTAAAAAGTGTCTAAAAATCAAGCCGTTGCACTGCACCAAACGAGATTATCACGATCCAATCGCCGTACCAAACATAGTCTTTTATTCTCCATTAAGATCAAATCAAACAGCACCAATTATAAACACAAGTTAATGGGCAAATGACATGGAATCTACTCCTAAATCCACATCATCTTTAGCAAAAGCAACAATATTCTTGACATTATCTGATGTAGCCTTCTCCTTCAGATCACTGATCAAGATGTAAAGGCATGCAGCAGCAGGTCAACAGCCCGCAGCCTTCCTTTCTTCCCCCTTCATATCACTGATCGAGAATTCGAGATCCCACCCGGTCTCCTTCCACATCTCCAATAATGGCCGCTGTCTCAATCCCTCCTCCCCAACCCAACGCCACCAAGGTACTCTTGTGACGCACGCACTCATCGCCATCGCCTGCAATCCGACAAGTTCTCGGACTTCTTGTTCTTGGTGGTGCTGCCAATTATGGTTAGGCAGAGCGAGCTAAGCTAGCGTGTGCTCATTCTGTGCTGGCGTTTTGCAGTACAAGGTCGCGCTGCTGCAGCTGCCGGTGTCGCCGCGCAAGGAGGAGAACATCGCCCGCGCGCGCGCCCGCCTCGACGCCGCCGCCGCCGCCGGCGCCACGCTCGTCGTCCTCCCGGCAAGTCTCTCTCATTGTCCTCCCTTCTCCTCGCCTGTCAGCCTGTCACTACTACCAGTAGCTGATGAGCGGAATGCGTATGGAAGTACTGATTATGTCTGATAGTCCGTGCAACACGGGCTGGATCTCAGTGGATCGTGGTAACAAGACCACTTACAATGTCATGTTGCGTTCGTTCATAAGAATAATTAGAGAAAAAACATTGCCTTCATGACGAGTAGAAAGGTTGCAGGAGGGGCACCCTCTGATGGAGGCGTCTTGTTTCAGGAGATATGGAACTGCCCGTACTCGATGGAGACGCTGCCGAGCCACGGCGAGGACATCGACGGCGGCGCGTCGCCGTCGGTCTCGATGCTGTCGGAGGTCGCCGCCCGGAGGAGGATCACCATCGTGGGCGGGTCGATCCCGGAGAGATCATCCGGGCGGCTGTTCAACACTTGCTGCGTGATCGGGCCGGATGGACAGATAAAAGCCAAGCACAGGAAAGTAAGCATCTTGAAAGAATGTACTCCCTCTGTTTTACTATCATATTACAAGACGTTCTAAACCTTTTTTTTAAGTTAAGCTTCCTTAAGTTTAACCATCTACAACATTATATTAGTTTCCTTAAATCTAACTTTAAATATATTTTGATACTTTATTTATTTTTGTGTTAAAAATATTGCTACGTCTTTTATAATTTTGGTATAAACTGAAGAAACTTGACTTAGGGAAAAAAGTCAAAATATGGAGAGAGTAGTTAATTTGTGTCAAGTGCTAATCAGTGTAATACTGAGGTAACTCCTGGTTGATGGACAATTTCAGCTGCATTTGTTCGAGATTGATATCCCAGGAGACATCACTTTCAGAGAATCTGACACATTCACTGCTGGTCAAGAGCCTACCATAGTTGACACTGGTACGTCCTGAGCTCACCATTTTTACTGGAAACTTAAAGCTGAAGAATGAAAAGGGGATGTATAGCATGTCTGCAACTGTGTGATAACAAATTAGTACTACCATGTTCTCTAAGATCATACACTTCAACTCTGCTAGTAGTAAAGTTATCTGAAGAAGTTTCTGTGGTACACAATTTGTTCGCACTCTGATTGTTTGGTAACCATATCGGTCGATGTGATGCAGATGTTGGACGGATTGGCATTGGAATATGTCATGACATCCGATTTCCAGAATTGGCAATGCTGTATCGATCAAGAGGTAAGCTTCAATCACTAGGGACAAGAGATACTTGGATCAAAATCCCTGAAATCCAAGAAGACCCTTTATTAAACAACTGCTGCATTGATTTCAATTAGAATTCAGAAGTCACATCTCATGGCTTCTGAAAAAACAGGTGCACACTTGATATGCTATCCTTCTGCGTTTAACATGAGCACCGGGCAGCTTCTATGGGACCTTATGCAGAAGTCCAGGTTACATCAACTCTCGATTTTTCAGCAATTCTGCAGTTCTATCACCTTTTATCTGTACATTTTGGGATCAGGTTCAGATCTTCAGATTGAGACGAGTACTTACATTAATTCAAATAATTAACTGTCTAATTCCTCCTTGTTTCTCTCTCTCCTGCAGGGCTGTTGACAATCAGGTAATCCACATCAACGAATGAGTTCATCATTACACTCTTTTATGAGTTTTGTGATTTTCTCATCCTTCAGAAAATTTTCTTGGTTTCAGTTGTTTGTGGTGACCTGCTCGCCAGCTAGAGACCCTAATGCAGAATCGGACTACATGATCTGGGGCCATTCAAGTCTTATTGGACCAGTAACAACACACCATTGCATCAAAAGCTATTCTTCTTCCACATGCTAATTTGGGTTCCACCAGGATTAGAAGCTAAAAATTACTCTGCATTTACAACTCTGCAGTTTGGGGAAGTCATTGCAACAGCAGGGCACGAGGAAGCAACTGTCGTAGGTGAAATCGACCATTCTATGATCCAAACAATAAGGTGAAATACCTTTTAGCATTTTTGTTTTCTTTTGTGCCTTTTTTGTCTGACTGATGAGGGAAAATGTATAAAAAATGTGCAGGGATAACCTCCCTTTGGAAATGCAGAGGAGAGAGGACCTGTACTCCACCCATTGGTTGATGTCAGGAGAGAATCTGCAGGCCACAAGACATGCGCCGCTTGACCAAATGCACAACTGCAATGAGGTGAAAATGGCTTTACAACCGTGGAAATGACGACCAGCTTAGCTGTTTGGGACCCGTCAGTGCATGCTGCTGTTTTGAAGCTTTTTCTGAAAGATTTCTTTTGACGTTGTAATTTTTTGAAAGATTATGTAACAAGATTGTACTGTCATGATGACATGCGCATAATCTTTCAAAAAAATGATTTTGTTTCTGTATGGATTTATAGAACGAAGAATTCGGAATAAGAAAAAGAACAAAAGGGCTGAAAAATATAATAAGAAAAAAAAACAGCTGTAATGGACCCGTACACCGGCTCAGTCACCAAGGGCGCAAAGCCCAGTACACCAGCCCGGCCCAGAGCAATTACCCCTATATACACAACTAAATGACGCTTCAGCCCCTCTTGACCCCGACACCAAACCATCCCTACCTGGGGGGTATAAACGTCTTTTCGTAATTTAACACCCTCCGCGCATTTACCGCTCGCCGCTCCGCCGTAAAACCCGTGCTCCACCACCGCCTCGTGCAAACCCAACACCCCGCAATTTCCACCCTTTTTCCTTTAAATAAATATAAATAAATAAATAAACCAACAATAATAATAATATTTTCCCCCTTCTCGCGTCGCGAGTCGCGAGTCCCCCTTTGAACGGCGCACCCAGCCAAGCCAAGCCGAGCGAGCCGAGGCCCCCAACCACTCACCCACTCCTCCCCCTCCCGACCAAAACCCACGCCCTAGCTCGCCTCGGGCGCCGCGCGTCGTTTGATGCGATTTCGGCGGCGATCACCACCACCACCACCACCACCACGCGCTCCTCCGGCGTAGCGTTCGGGCGATCTCGCGGCGGCGGCGGCGATGGCTGGCGGGGGCAGGGCTGGCACCGAGAAGGGGGCGGCGGCGGGGCGCGGGCAGACGGCGATCCAGTCCACCATCCAGTCTATCAAGGAGGTCGTCGGCGGCCACTCCGACGCCGACATCTACGCCGCCCTCCGCGAGTGCAACATGGACCCCAACGAGACCACGCAGAAGCTCCTCAACCAAGGTCATCCGCCTTACCCCCGCCCACCTCCTGATCTGGGCGTGCTTCGATCTCGTGAGGCCGACCTAGGGTTTTGGTCGTGTGATTTCTCCCTGCATTGGGTCGATGTCACGGCGCGGGTCTTTGCGTGGCTCGCGGAATTGGGATTGGGGGGCTAGCGTGCTAGGGTTTTGTACGATCTGGGGCACCTGGCGTAGTTGTTGATTTTGCGGTTGATTTGGGATATTTGGTTTTATATTTCTAGGGCTTTTATCTGCTCACATATAGGTGGGTTGGTTTGGGCCTTTTAGTGTGATAGATTAGTGCTTAGAACCCTGGGTTTACTAATGGTTTTGATTAATCAAGCGGTCAATCACACGGATTTATCTGATACAAGGGTGTTATGTCATTTTGAGTAGATGGGCGTGGTGGTACTGATACTTTAGTGGTTTTACCAAAAGAACTGAATTGCTAGTACAACCACTTGATGTTCTTATCCCCAAAACTTAGTCAGTGGGGATATTGCAGCCTACAGGCATGTCGCATTCAGCTTATTTAATATTTGTGAAGTTTCCTTATTATTATAGATGATGATATTATTTCTGTATTAGGTATTTATCTTCATAGTCTAATTCCTTTCATGGTTTACATTTGCAGATCCATTTCATGAAGTGAAAAGAAAAAGGGACAAGAAAAGAGAGGTATACATTTTTGCAGTTTTGGACTCATGTTAATGAGGATTGAGAAATGTCTTTTTACTATTTTCTTTTGGCAGTAGCCCATTAACTCATAGCCAACTACACAAATAGTTATGCTTCGTATACCTTTCTTATAGTCGTAGGACAATCATTGTTGTGACAGCAAACTACAATGTAAAATTTGATCATATACCCACTGTTTTTAAGATTGAAATTGAGGAATTACCCTCCCGACCCACATGCAATTACCTTAGATGAATCCATACGTCATTGGCACAGGAGAGTAAATCCTCAATTTCTAAAGGGATGGTATATGATCAAACCTCCATTTACATACCAAGATGTAGTACGCCTGAATATGTGAATTCAATTGTTAATGTTAGGTTTGCCATAATTTTACAGTGTGTAATTTGAAACTGAGATGGATTCAAAGTCTACATCTTCCATCTAATTACAATCTTATTAGTTTTTGAGGCTCTTCATGTTACAGTTTGGTTGTGTTGAATTTCTTTATGCCCACATGTGAGATTTTGCTCCGAATGTGATGTTTAATCCATTGCTTAAAGTCACACATTGCTATGGATCACCCTTTTTGATCATGCATATCTGTTGCTGTTTTAGAGTGCTGGACAGAAAACTGTTCCTGATGCTTCTGCACAAGCTGAGCACAACTCACAGTGGACGAAGCCACGCACACAAAGGGTTGAGAATGACCAAAGAAGAGCTTACAGCCATGGTCAGGCATCTGGTAACACAGCTGAATCTCATGGTTTGTATAATATCGCCATAAGTTGGGCAATATTGAGAAAAAAAAGTGGTTACATTTCTAATTGTTTGACATGGCTTAATGTAGGTCCTAATCGGGAATTTCGGGTTGTGAGAGACAGCAGGCATGGTGTGGTTGAAAACAGACCAGAGCTAGGACACAAAGGTTCACCAAATGTAAAAGTGTCTGATAGGAGGTATGATTGTCGTATTGTCTGGTTATTTTTTCTCTTTTGCCCATACTACGTTTGGTACCCTATGTTGGCTAGTTTTGAGACCTAATCTATATCTGGGTCAAATCATATGTGAGTCATATCATCTGTATATTTATTTGTTCATTGTAATGTTTGTAGTTGATGTATAATTGCAGAGTAGTAATATTTTTTATTTAAAAAATGGCAACATTGAAGTAAATAAAGTACCTTGTGGTTAGACAATGTTGGTTTGGGTAACACCTATATACTTCCTCCGTTTCATAATGTAAGTCATTCTAGCATTGCCCACACTCATATAGATGTTAATGAATCTAGACATATATATGAATCTAGATTCATTAAAATCTATATGAATGTGGACAATGCTAGAATGACTTACATTACGAAACGGAGGGAGTATCAAGCAACATTAAACCTTTTTACTTTTACCATTTCCATGTCTAACCTGATATGCTGTTTTCTTTTCTTGCTTGGAAGATTATATACTGCTGCTTCATTGGTTCTGCGGTGCCTTTTTCAAGATCTTTACTTTTGCTATTCTTGGATGCTGTAACTACTGCCTTCTCTTTTCTTGCATCCTAAAATCCATGTCTCAACCTTTTCAAAACTCGATTGCCAATATTTTCTGGACCTATTTCGATTTGTTATATGAAAATTGTATATATATAAATATCTTGATGTAAAGTTATAAAAAGTATTGCCAGAGTCACATCTCAAGGACCATATGAGTCTATGACAAGTAAAAAAACATACACACACAAAAGAATGGATGTACTAGTTAGCAAAAATTGTTTTACAGCCAGAACTAAAATACTTCTACTGGAATTGGTAAATCTTTGCTGACCTAACTAAAAGAATGGATGACCAATTGTCTTGCATTTGTGTGCCTTGATACTAAACTAACATTTTGCTTAATGAATTGTTGTTCTGTAGTGTGCCTGTAGTTCAAACCGGTCGGAACCATCCTCCTGCTACAACTTCAGAAGGCCAGATAACACAAGGTGCGAAGCACAGCTACAACTCTGACGTGCATCAAGTGAAGAGACAGGCTCAGGGCACTGCTCAGAAATATGTGAAGCCACATTTGAAGAACTCCCAGGATGAGCAACACCCTCCTACTTCTGATCCAGCTCACACCCGACCAAATTTGAAAGCTGCTGAAGGTGCTGTTGGATCCGTTCGACGCCATGTTGGAGTAGTTAATGTGCAAAGGCAACCATCTGGCCGCTCAAGTTCTCACTTGCATGTACAAAGTGGTGGTTCTCACGTAAATAATCAGCGGGGAAACTTTGTCCCAGGTGGACCATCTGGACGCCATTTTATGTCTAAAAACATGCAGTCCGTTCATAGAACTGCTTTAGATTCAGTACATCGTGGCAGATCTGGTGGCAGATCTTTTGTTGCCTCTAGTAGTAAATATCAGCAGGGTCCTGCCAGCAACCAGAAAGGTAACATTTTCAAAGTTATTTGTGTCATTCAGTTCTGGTTAGCAAATCATCAAAGTTATTTGTGCTATTCAGTTGGTTAGCAACAGTGTATCAAAAGTGACCATATTTGTTTTCTTGCAATAGAGACACTCAAGATTTGAAGATGAAAAGTTAACATATTCCCATATCACTCCATAGATTGCTCGTTCTTGTTGTTTGTTGGTTGCTAGGACTAAATTTTGGCTGCTTAGTAGTCAGTACTTAGAAGATGAGCAATTCAAATCATGATGTAGGAAAAGACAGACCTGACATCATTTTGTTCTGACGTGATTCTTTAATATGGTAGCTCAACGATGAAATTTCCTTTATGAAGTGCATATAGAAAAATAATAGGACGGCCTGGACGGGTATGCATTTCTCTTTATGCCAATAAGAAATTTTGGCATGAATCGAGAATGAAGTAAGTGATGTGCATTTGTTCTGAATCACTGAAGGATATTCATATATATTTCAATTGACTGTCTTCCTTGTCTACCTGTCGCTTGTTCCAATCACCTTTTTACACATTTTTATCAGAAATTCCGTTTGGATGGCTAAGTAGTTCATGTGTAGCTTACTTTTCATGTTTTATATTCTCTGATAACATCAATTATGAGGTCTGACATGGGGTGTTTGGGCCACATCAGTGAAATTCACATTGTTATACATGTTCTCTCTCTCCTCTGCAGTCACACAGCCGGCAAAGGAGTGGAAGCCAAAATCAACAAAGAAGTCTTCCAACATTGATACTGATAATAACAATGGAACAGATGTAATAACAACTTCAGCTAGCAACACTGAAAATTCTAATGTGTTGGATGAGAATGCTTTGTGTGAAAAAACCTCTCAAGCTTGCATACATGAGGTGGAGCATGTTATTATCCCAGAACATCTCCGTGTACCAGAGTATGAGCAGACAGGATTAAGGTTTGGCAGTTTTTCCCCTGGATCTGGTGCAGACCAAGTATCAAGCTCAGAAAGTCCATCGGAATCTGAAGAACAAGAACAGTTGGGTGATCCTATGCCAATAGCGTGAATACAGATTATCTAGCAATATATACAACTACTTAAAAATAAGTACAAGCAAATTTGTCCATTGAAATTGCTTCATTACTGCATAGAATTGACATATGCATTCTATAGCTAAAAAAATGTTCTGTATGCTCCATTTACTTTTCTACCTACTTATGAGTTATAACATCTTATTTTCTTGATATTGTCTTTTGGAAATGTAATCATGGTGAAATAGTGAGTATTTTGAAACCTACAGTAACTTAATGCAATACTGCTTGTTAGTTGCTAAAGAAAGGCTCTAATTTAGCATGCCATACCTAAATGTGGTGTGGATTTTCATATCAGAGCTTTCAGCATTCCTGCAAATATGGCATTGTCTTATTTTCTTTGTTACATGTAGTGTACAAGAACCAGTTCAACTTGTTGTTGAAGATGACTCATTGCGTGCTGGACATGATGAGGTAGATGTGGAAGCAAGATCTTCACAACTCAATCTTTCCACATTGACAGCCGAGATATCCTTGCCACCATCTGAGGATAGCGTAGAAATGAATGGCGAAGAGGTTGAGAACGATGATGGTCTTGGGTTGGTTCAGAGTGATACTCCACTTGCACCTGTTGATGGCCAAAATATGCAGAGTGCCTCAAATCTGACTGCGTTTTCAGTAAGTCAATGAAGAATTGTTAGCTATACGGGAACACCTCTACTTTTTAGTTTGCTGATTAAGATTTTTGAAGAATTACTTCTGTTGGCATTTATTTTTAGATTAGTATTTATTTTGTAGGCTGTTCTTTTTCTGACATTCTCAGATCTTTGTATGAGTAAAACTATTACTTTTTTCAGACATATGGTCATGAAGACCCTAATATGCATCCAAGTAATGAGGCACAGTTATACAGACTAGTGGAACCTAATGTACATCCACAAGTAATGGCATCCCCTTCTCAGGTAAATTTACCGGTGAGTTCAGTTGTACTTGGTTGTCATTGAATGCATATTCTCTTGATGGAATGCTATAGCTTCCTCACCATCTGTTTCCCTATCTGTAAGCAGGGGTACCCTTCGGAAAATCCTGAAGCAGATAATGCCGTGCAAGTGTTCAGAATACCAGAATCTAATGTACATTCACAAGTACTCCCTTCCACATCTGAGGTGGCACTACTTATCATCTTGCAACCAACCCAATGCTTACTTTCTTCTGTGCTTTCTTTCTCATTACCTTTTGCCCACCCATCTGTTATTTATCCTTCCAGGCTTCTATTTCTTTACTCGGTATCATGTTGCGTAGGGCTGCAAATGAATCAAGTTTGGTCATATTTCATTGGTTTAACCTGCATTGATTTATAAACTGGCCTGATTGGACTGTTTTAGTTTGGCCAGAAGGCTAGTTACCATGCTCAACATTTAATATTTCAGCTGGATATGGTTGGACCTAACCAAAGCATAACTTATGTCCCCCCTTAAAATTGGTGTATGTCAGGTTAACCAACAAGGTCATGAGCCTTGAGCTTACCTTTGTTCTTTTATTTAAAAAATAATAATGTTTTGTTGACTGAGATCAAATCCCTGGCAACACTTTATTTAACACAATGTCTTGAGGGCAAGTACTATTTGTCTCAATGTTATTGTGACACCTGATCTCATCCATTTATTCTTCTTTTGCAGGCCATTAGTTCACAGATCGTGAGCAGCAGCCCTGTTGCAATCTCTCAACAACTGCAACATATGTCCCAGCCACAACAAGCAGCACAGCTCTACCCTCCTGTTCATATGCAACATTATCCAAATTTCATGCCATACCGTCATCATATCTATTCTCCAGTTTATGTCCCACCCATGGCTATGCCAAACTTTCCAACAAATATCCCCTATCCATCAAATGGAAACAATTATCTTCAGATGCCAGGAGGAGGTTCACATTTAGCAGCAGGTGGCATGAAGTATGGAGTTTCACAATATAAACCTGTTCCAGCTGGTAGCCCTTCTGGTTATGGAAATTATACTCATCCAGCTGGTTTTACATTTAGCTCTCCTGGTGTTGGTGTTATTGGAGGGGCTGTTGGTGTCGATGATGTCAATAGGATCAAATACAAGGATAACAACCTTTATGCACCATCCCCACAGGTACAATTTATAGATGACTGAAGATCCTGCTTTGTTTCAAATTGAACTATGCACTTCTGTTTAAAATACCACAACCTACTCTATTTACTTAGGCCACTGTGGTAGTCTAATTAGAACAGCAATAACTTATGAATTCTGTTCTACCTCTTCCTTACAGTTCAATAGTAGTTCTATTTTATGCTAGCGTGCCTTGATGGTATTTCCTGTACGCATTACTCTATTCACTAATTGGGATGCTTTTTACAGGTGGAGACATCTGATATCTGGATTCAGACACCTAGAGAGATGCCGACTTTGCAGTGTCCCCCATATTTCAATTTATCAGGTCAAGCAACATCTGGTGCTTTTGTGCCGAATCCTGGGAATGCATCATTCAATGCTACAGCTCAATCCTCCCATGCGCAATTCCCAGGCTTGTACCATGCACAGCAGCCTTCGTCAATTGTAAGTCCACATCCCATGGTGCATCAACAAGTCCAATCGGCAATTGGTCCCAACGGTGGAGTTGGTGTGGCTACACCAGCCCCTCAGGTAGGGGCTTATCAGCAACCCCAGCTTGGTCATTGGAGACCTGGCTTTTAAAGGTTTATTAATTATCTGTAATTAGGGGGTCACAAGAGCCTTTATGTAACAAAAGAGGCTACTTTTAACAGGAAGCACATTTGTTTTTAGTGCAGCTCTTTCTGATCTATTTAAGGTATAACAGGGTTTTGTTAGCTTTCCCCCAAGGTGAATTCAGTATCCCATCTGAACTGGTTTGATGTAGATTGTGAGCTAAACATTGGCTTAGTTCTTTCAAGAGCACAGAAGTTGAATGCCGTTTTATTCTTTCGTTTCCTGATCTATTTGCACGTTGATCGCGTTTGAAAGTTTGCAGCACACCTCGAGTAAACAGGTTACTCATATTTGGTGGTTTCAATTGAAGCAATCATCATGTTTTCAAACTTGTTCAACTGTATCATTATCATTATTATTTTTTTGTCAATTTTGACTAATCAAGCAGCAATTTGTTTTGATACTTAGCTCAGCTGAAGAGATGTAATCACTATTCCTAGTGAACAAATGAAGTTACTTTTATTCTGCTTGGGATTCAAATTTATCTTGATGATTCTTTTTACTGTATGTTAGAAATGGTTCAGCAACTTTGATATTGGCCCTGCTGGTGTAGTTTACTTTGATATGAAATTATGAGCATTAAAGAATTGCTTTGATATTGGCCCTGCTGGTGTTAACTTTGATATGAAATTATGAACAGATATTGGCCCTGCTGGTGTTAACTTTGATATGAAATTATGAACATTAAAGAATTGCTCATTGCTATTGCTGCGGAGAAGCCTTTCTGGGTAGCCAGGCTGGGGAGAAGCCTTTCTGGGTAGCCACAGATACTGTTGTCCCTATGCACATACTAGTATGAAATAAATGCTACTATACTATACTTTGGCATACTTTGGCTGTGTTTAGTTCCTGAAAAAAGTGGGAAGTTTGGAAAAAAAGTTGAAATTTTATACTCTATGTAGAAAAGTTTTAGATGTGATGTGATGGAAAGTTGGAAGTTGGGGTAGTAGGGGGTGAACTAAACACAGACTTTATGAGTTATCATTCGACGCTATTGTTTTTTTTTTTTTTTTTGTAACTAAGGGTAAGGGCATTGCTTCCCTCAATCGGTGAAATTTTGCTGCCACAAGTATCGCAATCCAAATTTCTGTTGCGCCCAGAAAGTTGTCTCGGATGAAACTATTTCTGATCTGTTTTTGTTTAACAAGTGGGATGGTATAGGGTTAGTGCAATTTCCTCGGCTGCTAGTTAAATCGATAAATCTTACATCAATTATGAATGAATCTAACCGTCGTTTTTATATTCTTGTCATTGACCAGCACGGTTCAAACTAGAACAATATACTACTTCCTACGTTTCAAAATGTACTGAATTTTTATCGTTCAATCTTTTTTCTAGAATAATTCACATCTCTTCTTAATCGCACTCGTTCTCGGGTGATCTGGGAGATTGAGAGAAAACATCTCGTTTTCCGCGTGCACGTTTTCCAAACTACTAAACGGTTCTTTTTTGCAAAAAAAAAAATCCATAAGAAAGTTGTTTTAAAAAATCATATTAATCTATTTTTAAAATTTAAAATAGTTAATACTCAACTAATCATACGCTAATGGCTCACCTCATTTTGCGTATCTTCCCAATCTCCTCAATCCCTTTCTCCTCAGACACACCCTAAGACTACAATTTAGCTGACGTTTCATTGTCAGGTCCAGAACTTGAACCTATACAGGTAAGTTTCACCACTAAGACCGTGTTCTTATCTAAGTGTTTCCAGCTTTATCTTTTAAGCTATCAAACGGTGTGTTTTTTTCAAAAAAAAAAGAAACTTCTATAGGAAAGTTGTTTTAAATAATCATATTAATCATTTTTTTAAGTTTTTAAACTAATCCTTAATTAATCGTGTGCTAATATGTGCTTCACTAAGGCTATGTTCTTATCTCATCTTTCCAACTTTATCTCCCAAACTGCTAAACAGTGCGTGTTTTAGAAAAAAAAAATTCTATATGAAAGTTGCTTTAAATAATCATATTAACCCAACTCAGATAAGTTGAAGCTTAACCACTTAGATTATCAGTGCTTATAAATTTGAGGAGGACTATAGACTAGTATACCGTTGCAACGCAATAGTTAATGTGCTGACACCATCACAATATCGTAGGGTACAAATCTGGTACCATTGGATACCATGTTGATGGTACTATATATGTCGGATCTGGTACCTCTAATACAAGACATGATACCCTGTAGGTACCAGATGTGGTATCTAGGTACAGTATGGTACTGGATCTGCTACCTCTGGTATCAGATATGATACCCCTAGAACTGACATAGGTATCACGCTGATGTCAACATGCTATCATAGGTATCGAATTTGGTATCTCCGATGCTAGATATGATACCCCTAGATATGGTAGGTATCAAGCTGACATTAATATGCTACTGTAAGTATCGGATCTGCTATCTCCGGTAGACATCATATACTATAGGTATTAAATCTGATACTTAGGTAGCATACTGGCATCATCATGATTTCATCGTACTTCTGTAGTATTTTTATATAAATTTTGATACAGAGCTGGGCATCGAATACCAAAACATTGTAAAAGAAAAAAAAAAGGTAACGCTCGATCGGGACCCTTGAATAAAGATTAGTTTCTCCGTTCCAAAATAGTAATAGTATAATAACGTTTGGCTATAAAACAACTATAAATTCAAATTTATAACTAAAAATATTTATATTTTTGGGATAGAGTCGTCGTGCCGGGTCTGACCATCGCGAGATCAAACCGGTTCAATTCCCTGCCTGGCCGAGTCGAGCCGGGAAAGCGTCGCACGACACGACTCTCCTCCCACCGCTCGGCCTTCGCACCGCCGCCGCCGGCGCCACCGCTCGGGAGACGCATCCGCCGCCGCCGCCGCCGCCCGCCATGGGGACCCGGGAGGTGTACGAGGAGAAGCTGCGTAGCGGCGCGCACCTCCACCGCGACCCCACCATGAACCCCGGCCTCGGCTCCGCCCGCTGCCCTCGCTGCCTCTCGCTCCTCACCCCCAACTCCTCCGTACGCTTCTCTCCTCTCCTCCCTCCTCTCAGGTCGCCGTTCCCGGCCCCTTGACCTTGTTTGTCTTTGTTTGATGGCCGCGCAGGGAGAGGGCGACTGGGCCATCACCTCCGTGCTCCACGACGCCACCGCCGTGGTAACCCCCATCTCGTCCCAGTGCTTAGATTTTTCTCAGTTACCTTCGCGAGATGGCGAAATTTGTAGCAGCTAACTTTGTGTGTGTGGTCATTGGTGTCGCTGTAGGCTGGTTCGGGCGCCGGCGCGATGCTCAGTGCGGTGCACGGGTTCAATACAGGTTGCGATCTTAAAAGAGTTCCCTGCGTTTGATTTGGGGTTTTCAAACCCTCAATCTAGGTTTATGCGGCTGTTTAGATGGTAGTTAGATTCTCTGAGTGATGAATTGTTTGCTGGTGGATTTGGAACAGGGATTCCGTTCGTCCAGAAGCATGTGAAGGGGCCCAAGTGGCTGCAACTTCTTGTTGGGGTATGGCTTGAATCTAAGCTCATGTTCGAGTACGCACGTACTTATATTAATCCACTTTGGGCTGTTTGATCGCTAGTGTTAGCTTCCGCTACGCTATGTGAAAAGCTTATGCTAGCTGTAGATCCTCCAACATGGTTGAACATATGTTCAAGTTCAATGCAGGTAGATGTAGTCTATAAGGTTAACTGTCATAATACAATCAGGTATTTAGAATGGACTGTGGTGACAGTTTACCCCAATTTGTTTTTAGAAATAAACCATATAAGTGTTTCTTTTCTATTGTAGTTTTTTTTTTTTTTTTGAAGTGTGAAACATGCTATAGGATGATAAGTTAATGGAGAAACATACTCAGTGTTTACCTTCTTGTACAAGAGTCACTATATCCTTCAATTTAGTCTGATTCAGTTTACAATGCTTGTGTGTGTGATTTAAGAATATGGTATGGGGCATTTGTTTGAATTCAAAATGGTTCTTGAAAAACTATGTTATTCAAACGTAATAGCTAGATATTTGTTCAATGGACAAAAAAAATGTTGAAGGAGTGCATTTGGTCAAAGGGTTTCTAGAACTTGGGCATTATGAAGATGAAACTGAAATTTCAGATAAGCTCAAATGTGTTATAAAATACTTATGCAAATCTGGTCTACTACTTGCAATCTGTGTACTTTACAACTAAACATTGCTGCTTTGTTGTTCAACTGATGAGATATGTACTTTTGTTTGTCCAGGTGCCTCCATTGCTCTTGTTCTCTGGTACCAGCGCTTTATTTGGGGGTAAGTCCTTGCGGTAACTAGTCACTAAAAATGATGTGTCTGATAGAAGTAGTAAATCTTGTTAATTTGTGAGTACTTGTTATTTTTATGATTTTATCACTTTTTTTTGCTAGCTTATGATGTTTACACTTTACACTGAGAATCCTGATTTACATATCTATAACTGAAGCCTGAAGCGGGAAAAGTCCCTTTCCTTCCCTTTTGTTCACGCGCTGGTTTATTTTCTTTACGAAACCTAACTAGCTGTAAGAATAGTAGAATAGTTCTATAAAAAGGAGGAACACTTGAAATAATGGATCTCTCCCTTTGTTTGACCTTTGATATATGGTTGTGGAACAACAAATATTCCAACACTGAAGACCTTGTTATGAGGGTCTTTTAGATCTAACCCAGTGAACATTCTGGACATTCATCCTTTCGCAGATCTAGTAGTGAAGTTATGACTCACTATTAGAGGACGTGTCAGGATTGACAACGTTGCAAAATTACATATTATACTGCAATAGAAAGGAGTTTTTCGACCAGGGTAGGATCATGCGTCAGTTATCGCTCACTTTAATCCCTATCAAAGCAATAGATGAAGCTTACTAACTTCTACATTTTCTATCAATGTAACAATTAATAGCATAGCGAAGTTATCCATAATGGCAAATACTATTTCCTCTTCTCTCAAAAACCCTTAACCATCCAGTTCTATCTACCTAAAAGCATTTTAGGCGAACCAGATCTAAGCCACAAATATGGGATCATGCTAACTTTGCTGGGTTAGAGTTAAGAATTAATTCTGGGCTGGCAAAGCTGTTTGAATCCAAAAGCATAGATCCTCCAAAATTTTCCACAATCAATTTACTCTTCTAGAAATGTAGCCAGAATGTCAGGTTATCTGCTACACAGCACATTAGCTAACATTGATTAGGTTTGGACTTTGGACATTTGGTATTTGCAGCAAAGGGAAGAGAGAAGCTACAGGTTCAATGTAATATAAATCTAGTTATTTTTTTCCAGAGCTATTTATGTTTGGGCCCGGGGTGTGTCAGCTCTCTGCCATTGTAATTGGGGCACAGTAGCTGGTTAACATACATAAGGATGGGCATTGCTCATGTGAGAGGGTAGGGAGAGGTTAAGTGTGATATAATCCTGTGCAGATATTTACCTTTTACCATATTTGATAGTAATTTTCTGTGCATTATTGCTACTAAATGGACAATGGAAAATATTCCTGTAGCCATTCTAGTTCTTTCTGTCTGCATCTTCAGATGAGCTATAATTTTGTGTCATCTAAGTTTGCTAGACTATATGATGAAAAATATGTCTTCCATCTTTTCTTTTGCATAGATTTATCAAACTTAAGGTGTTCTGAGCTCATGCAGATTTTTACACCAGCACAAGTATTCATGCAGCACACAATGTACGTGGAATTATCACTAGTGCCTATATAATGTCTAATGATCTGTTATTTATTGCAGCATATGCGCTTCCAACGTTTGCTCAGCTCACTGTAACATCTTATTATGCCGCATCAAGTGCCTCTCACTATGCAGTTTCGCAGATTACCCGCCAGATCGAAAGGTCCCATTTGTCAGACACTAATGGGAATTCCAGATGAGTTTTTCTCACTCAATATTATGCTACATACTTGTTTACGCTCTATATACGTGGTACATAAGTTATTCCTCCCGTTTTTTCTGTTGCACTAGTCTGATAGCTTCGGCATGTTTTGCACACACAAACCTATATTTATCATAGGATGAAGCTGCATGTCCTTAACATCCTAAATTAAAAGTGCTTCTCTTCTACTTTTTTTTTCTGTCGCCATTACTTTTATCTGTGGAAAAATGTCCCAAATTACTGGTCAAGAATGCAAAACGTTCTACGACAGATTTACGATGGGGGCTGTGGATCCGGTTGCTAAGCATCATGCGGTGATGAAAAGAACGTCAAACAGCATCAGATAGTGCGAGGTGAAAAAAAAAAAGATTATAGCCTGAGGCTATAGCTAGAGAAAAGAATAGAAACTACCTATACCACGTATCAAGTACAACTTCACGCCATGTTGAAAGAGGGACCTAGCACTAAGCCTGTCATGCTATGTGTGACCACTTGTTGCCATGAGAACAAGAACCACAGAAGCACTACCATCTCCGAACTAGGGATGCAAGTGGGTAGTCCCGCTGCCCGCATAAAAATTCGCTTGCTAGTTCATTTCCCATATAGAAGAAAAAATGAACTATAAGTAAGATAAGCAGGCTAAAAAACCTACTCCGCTTGCCCGCCCCGCTTGCGTCCCTACTCCGAACCCCCTTGAATTGATCGCAGAGAAGGTGGGAGCATCTCCGACCCACCTAGATAATTAATCGCAGAGAAGGTGGGCTCCCTGTCATCACCATAGCCTAGAAGTGCAGAGGGAGAGGGTGAGAGAAGAAAGATCCCCTCATCCCTCGCACAGGTCTGTCGTCCTCATGACTTACAAAAGGAGAAAATCCCCTACATACCTGAAAAGTTTCGATATCTCTTCTGTACCCCTTAATTTTGCCCTATCTCCTACATCCCTTGAGTTTTCATTTTGATCTCTATCTCTATTATGTTATTTGACCGAGAGTTGACCGTTGGATTTTTCTAAAATGATCATATCGTGCATTTTCCATACTTACATGCTACCTACTTCATAATTCACAATGTGAAAAATTGTAATTCATGACAAAATCAAATGAGACATAATTATTTGTTTTAAAATTCAAAAAAGAAATAAATTGTTGAACAAATTTACTTTTTTTATGAAATCTATATAAGAGTTGTAGCTAGAAATTATGAACCAAAATTATTTATTTATTGTGTTCAAATTTTGATGTAAATGGTGTACGAATTTCATAAAAGTCAATTAAAAATTCATACAAAAATTTTAGATTTATTTTTAAAATTTTTCATCAAATAATTGTGTTTTTATCACTAAACTAACACATGTATAAGAGAGGGGTAATATAGTCAATCTCAAAACGGTCAACTCATGGTCAACTAACGGAATGGGCATTGAGGAGATCAGAATGAAAACTCAGGGGTAAGTAGGAGATGACGCAAAGTTAAGGGGCACATAAGGGATTGAGAGGATTTTCAGGTGCATACCGAGGATTTTCTCCTTCCAAAAGTGTCGTAGATGAACAGACATCCTGAGGCATAAATAGCAGAAAACCACAAGTCGGGCTAGCTTTTTGCTTGGAGTCTTTTATTTCCCTGTCGCCGTAGTCCCCTTTCCACCAAGTCACCCACCATCGTCCCACCACCACCAACACGAAGTTGCCACAGACACTCCCAGGGCGTTCCTACACTATACTTCCCGGGGTCGGTGACCCCGGAAAGAATTTCAATCTTAAGTTGTTTTAGCCCATATTAACTACTATATTATTCGTTTGGAAAAAGTACACCGAAGGTCCCTCAACTTATCATCGAGTTACAAAATCGTCCTCCAACCGCAAAACCGGATACAACGCATCCTCCAACTTACAAAACCAGTGCAAACCAGGTCTCTTAGCGGTTTTGTCTGATGTGGTGGCTGAGTCATCGTGGGATCCACGTGGGCCCCACATGTCAGGATGCCACATCAGCAGACCGGCCTCTCCCCTTCCTCTCCTTTCCTCCTCTCTCTCTCTCTCTCTCTCAATCCTCTCTGGACTCGTCCGACGGCCGGCCGGCGACGCGGCAATGGAGGCACGGGAGAAAGGGAGGGCGGCGGCAGGGCGAGGCGGTGTCCGCGGATGCGGCGGCGGAGAGGCGGCGGCGGAGACACAGGTGAAAGGGGAGGGCGGCGGTAGGGTGAGGCGGCTTCGGCTGCGACGCGGGGCGAGGAGGTCCGACGGCCGGCCGGCGATGCGGCGGCGGCGACACGGCGTCGGCGGGCGAGCGGCGGCGCCATGGCCGCAGCTAGGCGGCAACCGCAGCTGGTTCAAGTTGCCGATGCTGTCGTCGCAGCAGGCGTCGTATGTGAGCGAGGACCAGCAACACGAAGAAGACGACGGCGACGGCGACGAGGTCCTCATCCCCGGGTTGCCGGCGAGGTTCACATACGCGGAGCTGGAGGAGGCGAACGTACCTGATTTATCAGTTTTTTAGACAACTCGTGAAGTCCTAAATCCATCTAAAAATGCTCATCATGTAGTACTCGTTTGTTTGACTTTACTTCCCATACTCTCTCTCCTTGTGCATTACATGATTGTCACCTGCTTGTGATCTGCTCTGGAATAGAGAGAGTTCTTCAAGCCTTTGACAATGGCTGCTGACAGATTCTTGCACTTCGCCTCGCTCGTTTCCGTGGTGGTCTTGGTACATGCATTTTCTTTTCTGATCGTCTCTCTGCTCTGCTGTGACCTGTGAGTTGATCTGATCATGTTAATTGCATACGCGCGTGTAGGCCGCCGGATCGAGATCGCCGGGCGGCGTGGCGGCGCTGCCGCGCCGTGGACAGCTGGTTGACGGCGGGGACAACGACAAGAACAAGTGCGTGTACATGCTGTACTACATGGGGACCGGGTGGATCTGGAAGGCCGGCACGGACGCGGCGATCGGCGTGGAGCTCACGGCGGCGGACGGCAGCGGCTTCGCCGTCAGGGACTTGGAGCGGTGGGGCGGGCTCATGGGCGCCGAGCACGACTACTACGAGCGCGCCACCGCCGCGTCGCCGGCTGACCGTCGGACTTCCTCGCCCCGTGTCGTAGCCGCCGCTGCCTCTCCGCCGCGGACACCGCCTCGCCCTGTCGCCGCCCTCCCTTTCTCCCGTCCCTCCATCACCGCGTCGCCGGCCGGCCGTCGGACCTCCTTGCGCCGGCGACCTCCTCCCCACCACCGGCCGGCCCTGCACAGAGTCCAGAGAGGAGTGAGAGAGAGAGAGGAGGAAAGGGGAAGAAGGGGAGAGGCCGGTCTGCTGATGTGGCATCCTGACATGTGGGGCCCACGTGGGTCCCACGATGACTCAGCCGCCACGTCAGATAAAATCGGGTCAAAACCGCTAAGGGACTTGGTTTGCACTGGTTTTGTAAGTTGGGGGATGCGTTGTATCCGGTTTTACGGTTAGAGGATGATTTTGTAACTCGATGATAAGTTGAGGGACCTTCGGGGTACTTTTTCCTATTCGTTTTGGGTTCACCACTGGACACTCCTCCGTCGGTTAGGCCTCCCATGGGCCACCTACGTGCGTTGCCATGACTAGGCAGACCTCGATGGCTGCTCCTGCTCAAGCCAACTGCCTGCTCCCTCCGTCCCCCAAGAACGAGATATGACAAATTATAGTACAAATGAATTTAGATATATGTATATCTAGATTTATAGTAGTAGAATGCGTCATATCCGGTACTAGGTAGGTTTTTTATGGGACGGAGGGTTTTTATGGGACGGAGGGAGTACACCTCTAACCGCTGAGGCACTCGGTCACGAACCTCTCCCTTACCAGCCTAGCTCATCCTAGACCGCCACTTGTCGACTCAGCCGGGGATGCCCAATTCTACTGAGGACGCACCGCACCACCTCTACTAGCCAGACCTCGTTGGCTACTCTCACTCAACCCAGTCGCCTCGCCTCCACCTCTTACCATCTCTTACCGCTCGTGCCACTAGCCCCCGACCTCATCGAGCTTACCCCCACTAGCATGCCTTGCCCCAAACCGGGATACCAGATCCCGCTAGAAGGCGCTGGATCTAGCCGTTTCTGCCCGTCATCGTCCTAGGGAGGGAAAAAGTAGCAAAATGAACTAGCCTTTAGCTTCTACTGCTTGGGCTTAGGCCCACGACTGCGAGTAGGCCAGCCCACAGCCCACGCACCGTAAAAATCTTGCACGCACACAGGCATGCCTGGCGACAGTGGCGAGTGTCAGTTACTGATGAGTGAGTATTCACCGAGGTCAGTCGTTTCCGACTTCACTGTTAATCACTTAATCCACACACACACACACATATTATTCTGAACTCTTTCGGACCAGTACTGCGAACGCCTACAGAGCCAAATTTTGGCATGCCTAAGAAAATAGGCCATTTCAACCATTAATTTAGGCTATTTTGGCTTTAATACAAACACAATTTTACCTTTGCTAAAATTAGCCATACCAAAAGTTGCCAAGATTTAACATTGATAAAAATTGGTAAGGCCAATTTAGGCCACAAACCAAACCAGCCCGTAATCACGTAAATGTACCTTCATGTGATCCTATTCAATCCAATCAAGTAAACGCATCAATTTTGGAATTTGTTGTCTCCGTTCATGCCAGATCGGTCGATCCGGCCTGCCCGTTCGTCACACGGCTATGCATTAGCTGCCTGTCACGATTAATTCCACTCGGTTTCTGGTACGTGCGTGCGTGCATCCAGCAGCATAAGTTGGCTCCTGGTACATGTGCCCCCTCTTAATTTGCACACACATATTCGTACATGTATGCGCTGTTAGATTAGAATTGTAATGACATATTAACTCGTGACCAAATGAACGTCAACACAAGACTAATGGGGAGAGTACATGTACATTTCGATTCTCATGGCATATGTATTATATACACCAGCTACTCCAGCTTAGTACTGTACTTAAACCGGCCGGTAATTATATGGTATATGGAGAGATGTCAGTGTACTCTTACTGACATGGTTGTTTCTATCCCAGTGAAAAGTACCCTCTACTATTATATACTGATATAGCTAGACAGCTTGTACGTGATACACAGTTTTGCGAGCCACATGCACGCATGTTACTATATACTGATACATATATTTGCTGCGATCGTGCAATATGTTAACAACCAACAGTAGTATGTGTAGTTAAGTTACGTGCCAGCATTTGATACAGTGGCAGTTAATTAAAGTTAAAAGACTTTTTAGAGCACCGTGGTCAGTGGCGAAGGTAAGGGGGTGCCAAAGGGTGCCAACACCCCCCTATCCAAACACTACCACCACTACACCCTCATGTATTTTACTCTATATTAAGTTAGCTAAGATAAGTATTTATCTAGTTTATTTTGTGTAGCTTGAAAGTATTATCAATTTAATTAGTTAGCAAGTCTAAAAATATTAGCAAGAGACATGATCTACAAAATTAGTTTGTGATTTCTCATATTTTTCAAAGTAAAATAGATGATACTTATTTGTGAGATTATTTAATAGTTTACATTAAAATAATTTAGCAATAAAGACTAGTTTTAAATTTCCAATGATATTATTAAAGAGCTAAAATTTAAGTTTTTCTTAAAGGACTAGTTTACGCATTGCTTGTTATTGACGGTGACTATTCTTAAAGGACTAGTTATTCGGTCTCATGGTTTATCTTCACCCTACACCCCCCTAATCTCAAATCCTGGCTTCGTCCCTGACCGTGGTAATCAGAGAGACAGACATGCCATGGCAGCGGAGGGGCTCGAGCCCCTCCGGTCCCGCTGCCAGCGTGAGGACTATGACTCTATTGGAGTCCCCACTAAATTTTCTCTACAATTTTTTATATATAAAAAAGGGGTTAAAATTCTGTCCAGCTTATTTAGCCCCACCTATTATTTTACTTGGATGTGATAATTGAATTATCATCGATCATAGCCAACGTGTGCGGTGAAAAACACCGTTCCACATATATATACGTACGCTCTCATGAAAAGAGTGTGGATACGAACGACGACGAGATGTGCAAATGGCCAACAAAACCCCTCTTGTAGATCTCTCCGGCCGGGAAGTACTTACGTACTCCCTCCGTCCCAAAAAAACAAATTCTGGTTTTCCGTATCCAATTTTGACTGTTCGTCTTATATGAAATTCTTTTATAATTTATATTTTCATTGTTGTTAGATGATAAAATATGATTAATATTTTATGTGTGACTTGTCTTTTTAATTTTTTTTTATATTTTTTTTAAATAAGACGGACGGTCAAACGTTGGACACGGAAACCAGGGTTTGTTTTTTTTGGACGGATGGAGTATACATCAGGCAGAACGGTCACATCCCACAACGTAGCTGGCATGCATGGTACATTATATTGGTACGCGTAGCTATGCATACAGTATATATTGGGTACATATACGTTAGTAGTAGTAGATTATACTACCTGCATTGGAGTATTTTACAGCTACCGATTAGGGGCGGATCCAGCGTAAGGGGTGCTCGAGCCTCCACTACTAGCGTGAGGATCATGGGAGTCCCAATGAAACCCTCACAAAGGATTTTTTTTTGTCATATACTTCCTCCGTCCCAAAATGTAAGCATTTTTGAGGTTGGCACGGGTATTAAGAAAGTAGTTGAGAATGATTGAAGAATGTGTGTGTTGGTTGAAAAGAGAAAGTAGATGAAAAAGAATGGTTGTGATTGGTTGAGAGGAGAAGGTAGGTAGAAAAATAGCTTTATTTTGGGACAAAGTACTGTGCTAGAAATAGCTACATTTTAGGACGGAGGTAGTATAGATGATAGAGGGGATTGTAGCTTTGTTCTAATTTATACAAACCTCCCTGCTATTTCTTCTTGGACCCATCACTGCTACTGATCATCATCTACACCCGGCCTGAAATCAACTCTTTTCGATCCACTCGTCATTGACAAAGAAAAGCTAAGGTCGGTTCGCACTTTGCAGTATACCAGCGGTGAAAACAGTATGAAAATTTTCAACCGCAGCGATATCCATAAATTGGTTGTTTTCGTTTCTAGTAATATATAAAACTTATTTATATTTAATTCATGTCAGCGTCATATTAAATTTACAATAAATAGTTAAATTAATTCACAAAAAATAACATAATAATAATAATAATATTCTTTTTGACCATTTCCCACTCATTGTATATACTCCCCCTATCTCAAAATAAATTTGTTTTTCACCCATCTCACACATACCAATATAAAAAACAGAAATACTATAATACCTATCCTTACTCTATCAAATCTCAATATATTTATTTATCACATTACCTACTTCTAATTTAATTAAATTTTACTTTTATAAACTTTGATGTAATGATTAATCAGAAATTAATTTATTTTGGAAAATGAGTCAAAAATAAACTTATGGTACGTGCACATGGGAGTAGATCTATAGAGCAGAGTGCAGAATTAACTATGGAAGTATGAGATCGTCGTTGAGTACGTGCTTAGGTGGTGTTGGGCTCCAGGGACTTAATTTTAGTCTCTATATCTAGACACTAATTTAGAGTATTAAATATAGACTACCTACAAAACTAATTATATAAATAAAAGCTAATTTACGAGACAAATTTTTTAAACCTAATTAATCTAATATAATTAGAGAATGTTTATTGTAGCATCATATAGGCTAATCATAGATTAATTAGGCTCGATAGATTCGTCTCGTGAATTAGTCCAAGATTATGGATGTGTTTTATTAATAGTCTACGTTTAATATTTATAATTAGTGTCAAAACATCCGATGTGATAGAGACTTAAAATACCAGGATCTTAATTAGCTAGCTACGCCTCCAATTCAACTATGGAACGCTTTTTCTCTGACAGGTACTTTGGACGTGTCAGGCCCTTTCCACCCTGACAAAGTAGCGTACTCCTACGTGTACGCCAGAAGGCCCAGAGCCCAGAGCACACGTACTATATGTGTATAAGTACTAAGTTTGCTTTTAATCTCAATTATTTATTCTAAAATAAATTTATTTCTTTCATCTCATTTATCCTCGGTCCACAAATGAACGAGTTTTTGTTACTTCAATACTCCCCTTATCAACTCTCGCCTGATCTTATACTCTCACCGGTCCATCAATACCGATTTATTGTCTTTTTAATAATGGAATGAAACATTCTGGCATATAAAATGAAAGATCAAGTTATTTTAGAACAGCAGAAAGTAATAGAGTAGACTTAGACTAGTTTAGGAACTGGCATTATATATCAGCCGTTTTGATCGATCTGTTTGTTTGAAAAGAACAGGAGAGAGCTGTTGTCCACAATTCATCAGGAACAGTTGATCTGTAGTAGTAAAAAACACTCACGTGTACCGCCAATTAATTCATCACCGGTTGTTACATGTGCATCAGTCTTGGTGTTGCTTCACGTATATATACTATCCAGTAGACGGTAGACCTACTAATAATATGCTTGTAATGGCCAACAATGCACGCCATTTCATATACATGGGAAAAGAAACTTGAAACTAATGGTTTGGATCAGC